ACACTTTCCATACAATTCCATACGTACAGAAAATTGCATGAAAGGTCTATGATTAGTATTTTTTTCATATATGGAAATTGTATGACTAGCATTTTTCCATAAACCATATATATTGATTTTTTACATTTTAATTTCTCAAACTTTTTTGGTTGTGTTCGTAACCGCACACAAATGACATAAACCTTGATTACTCAAACGTAGTAACCAACGGTTTGGCCGTCTCGCATTAAAAATGCATTGGAAACAGCCTGATATGTGTTATTTCTGTCTTAGACAAATAATATAACGAAAGTAATGAGCTTTTAAATTTTGGCAATAATAAAAAATAAAAAAAAGTCAAAGTTTTCAGTCGTAGCAGCCCAAAAACGCTTAAATGTTTTGCCAGCAGTTGAATTGATTGTTCATAGCTTTTTTTCACAAAAAAATTTTAAAAAAAAATTCTAATCATACAATTTCCATATATGGAAATTGTATGGTTAGCATTTTTTTTCATACCATTTTTTTTTCATACCATTTTTTTCCCTTTTTTTAATGAAGAGATACCAATTTCGATACCAAAACAACTATAAAATACCTTTGAAATTCGATTAAACTCATTTTGCAAAAATGTATGAAATTTGTATGACTAGCATTTTTCCATAGACTAAGTGTATGAAATTGTATGATTAGCATTTTCGGTCTATGGAGGTCAACCCGGGCCTCTAGAGTTAGAGTTGCAAGATTCTGTTAAAATTCTCATTTTTGGAATCTTGGCACACGCATTGCATTTTCTGAGCGACCTATTTCAATTTTTTCATCAGAATTGTAGCTTAAGAGGGCGCAAAAGTATTTATGATAATTTTGAAACTTGTAACCTGATAGTGTGAGCGTCTATTATGAGAAAAACATTGCATCTGGTTTCAAAATATGAGACAAGAAAGACTGATATTTTTTTTTCTGATGGCATGCTAACTACCCAAATATATGACTCAACATTTAAATGAGTATATTTGTGTTTTAGGAGTACGGTGAGAACATTGCAAGCCACTGGGACAGCTCCGGCAAACAGATGTCGGGTGAGTATATAGCAAGAAAACACCCAATTTAATCTTAGTTCAGACTCCTAGCTAATTGCTCATTTTCACTCATTTTCATCCATGGTTTTGACGGAGATCGTTCGTCTTTATCAAGGGGCGTAGGGGGTGGGCAACGAACTACCCCTCATTAAGGTACTGGACTCCCTCACTACCCAAAAATTCCACTAATATATCAACATACCAACCAAATTCTACAATATTATGACCAATTCAGGCTGTTTCTTGATTTTTGTCCACAAAATCGAACCCACGCAATTTAGAAGCGTTGTTTCCCGCAAACCATAACTTATAGGAGGAGTTTTTAAAATTTCTCCCATGGTAAGTAATTATATTTCAAATACATAAGTTTTCCAAATATCATTCATAAGTCTAATAATATTTGAGTGGCAAATATAACTTTGAAAATTTAGGTTCGGAATAAGTTTATTGCATCTATACAATACCCGAAAACTTAATTTAAGAAAATACGTTTGTTGCACAAACTATTACCGTTGAAGCGATACATTTTAGTTAGCTAGTGCAAAATCAAAATGAAAAACAGCTCATATAAATAAACTCAAAAAGTTTTAAAAATATGTTGTGACAGTCGAGACTTGGAAAACTTGATATTTCAGATGAAAAAGTTTTTGAAAATCAAAATCAATTGTGCATTTTTTATAGGTACATTAAATAGGCTATAGTTTCTTTGAAAATAATCAGAACAAAGTTTATTCAAAGACTTTTTTTTTAGAAAATTGTATAGGTAATAAGCATTATATAAGACAAGTTGCAACTGTCAACGAGTTCCAAAAAGAATTTGAAAATTTCAGAGAAATTTTAAGTCTAATAAAAATCAAATAAGCGCGTGTTGTTTTTCCGGCTTTCGAAAAAAATGACTGATTATTTGTGCTCTGGGTGATTTTTTTATCCAGACACACTTCGATTTTTTATCTAGTATTTTTTGACGCATTTGTTTTTATATCAGGCAAAAAATTTTGTTGTCCTGAGCTCAAATTTTAAAAAAGAAAACAAAACGGTCGAGGGTGTCCTATTTTTTTTACCTCGTAACAATTGAAGCCATTATTTTTTAACCCATACAATTTTACATGATCCTCTCCATCAATTATTTCTTTAACACTTTAAATTTCTTAAAAGTAATAATTTCAACAAAACTGCTCGTATCAGGGCGAAACCCTGAAAGTTCCGACTGCTTTTCAATAGCCTTGAAAGAGTTTTTGAAAACATCATAAAAAATGATAAAATATTTGAAAAATGATTTTTTTGTAACCTTCTCCGTACAAAATGATATGTTTTGCGTATAGAAAAGTAATAAATAGATAGAACAAATAATATGCTTCAAATCATTTTGGAACAATTTCTAAGACGTAAATCTCCGCGTAAGTTTTACAGCACAAAATATATCGCGCGTTAATTATCCCAAATTGGCTACACTGGCGATCTATAAACCCCCATAAGTTTACAAACAAGACTAATCGTATAACAGAGCAAAGCCCTGAATGTTCTGACTATGCCCCTTAATCTCTATCGAATAGTTTTTGGGAAAAAATACTGAATATCTATAAATTTTGAACAATATCAAACATCAAGTGTGCAAAGTTTCAGTCGTACGAAATTAATACGATCGATTAGCTATAGCCTTAATTCAATTTGGAAAGATTTTGTTGTGCGGGAGGCGCCACGCATAAATAATTTGCGTTACGCTTTCAACATTATGAATAAAATGTTCGAATCGCACATAAATTAGTCCAGAGCATGGCCAAATTGACAATTTTCAAACTCCCAGAACTTTGCAAAAAAAACAATCGGAGGTAAAATATCTTTTTACATTTCATTTCAGGGTGTCGATATCTTCAACGGGATATAAAATTTTGCCGAAAATTGACTGAATAAAAAAACCACACCGAGCATGAATATTCCGTTTTTTTCGAAAGTCGGAACAATAATTATCTCAGATAAATATCTGTTTAAGTTTGAGCTCAAGACAACAATAATATCTTTTGGATGATGTTTTAAAAAGTTCCGTCAAATATTCCATTACTTTCTCCGGAAGTCGGAACAATAAATCTGTTTATCAAAGAATCTATTTCAAAAGAAATTTGTTATTTTTGGCGAATCATCTCTGACATGTTCTACAGGTAGGGAAGTGGCAGATATGTGGTACAAGGAGTGTTCCAACTACGACTACTCCAAGGGAGATTACATCAGAGGCACAGGTAACGTCAGACAAATTACACAAGCGGTGTCGGTGCGTAATTTTGCTGATATATGAAGAATTCCGAAAAAAACGAGCAGCTAATTGCATCAGCATTACATAAAAGTTATGTAACAGTAACTCAATTTAATTTGAATGACTTCAGTTTGGGCTTTGTATATTTTCTACTCATCTGTTTTTTTTACACTCTGACTATGGCTTTCTTGCCTTCTAGACAGCTTGACTTCCGGACGTTTTTTTGCCCTACAGGTGTAAGAAACGAACAGAAATTGGTTAATTTTGTTGTTGTTCAGGTCATTTTACCCAAATGGTGTGGAAAAACAGTCGCAAAGTGGGAATTGGCACTGCTGTGGCTAAAGACGGCAAAATGATAGTTGTGGCGAACTACAAGCCTCCCGGAAACATCATCGGAGAATTCAAAGACAACGTCTTACCCCCCAAGAAGAAATAAACCCCACCCCATAACTGCATGTGAAAAAGGGTCTGTTACACGATTTGACTGATCAAGTCTATTGGCGATTGTAGACATTGTAAACATTGTTTTTCAAAACTTTTTCTTACATGGTGTTTCTAATTGGAGGCTAACTTATTTTCCTGATAAACTTCAAGTGCTTCTTCAATATGTATTGGGGCAGTCTCACAAATTAACTAAAAAATTTAATTTACGTTTAAATAATTAAGCTTATTTTATACGTTTAAATGTGGCCTTTTAGATGCTTATTATATTCCATAAAAAAGTTGCTCGCTTACTTTTCATGAACTTCCAGCAGCGAACGAAACAAAATCCATTATAATAAATTGTAATGGATTATAATCAGGGGCGGATCTAGGTTTTTCTCGAGGGGGGATAGGGGAGGATTTTATAAAAAAAAATTTCGAAAGTTTTGCCGACCTTTTATTAGGTCAACCAAAATGATTTTTTGAGGTCTTTCAAATCATTATAATGATCACTATGAAATTAACAGGCCAAAAAAGGCGTTTTAAGGCTCTTTTCGGAAAATTTTGACCAAAAAATCGCGTTTTTTTTCGGCGCGCGCTCCTCCCTCAAAATTAGTTATTTTGGCGCCGAAAGCGCTTCTAGAAAAGTTTTAGTCCTTTGGGTCGGCAGGGTGTCAAATCCCTTTGAATCGGCAGGGAGTCGAATCCCTGAGGGAGGGGGGAGGCGTCCGCCAACCCCACCCCCTTAAAATCCGCTGGTGATTATAATCATAATCAGTTTTTATTTTTTTTGTGTGCTATTTTCAATTGTTCATACCAAGTTTAAACTTAAGATAGTTATTTTGTAGTCTTGCTATATTTGAACTTTTTAAATCTTCAATCGCTTTTTATGATAAGTTACGTAAGCATTTTTGCTATTCTTTTGTTCAGTTTCCTTTTGCAAACCTCACAATTTACAACCCCCATCACGCTGAAACCCTGCCCCAAAGTGGGCGGTGGACTGGGGGTGTTTGATGTCCTGGGGTTGGGGTTTGGGGTAAGCGTGGGTGGGCGGAGTTGTAAAAAGGGGAATGGAAGCTTACTAGGGGTTGTGGTGGCCTAGTGGAGAAACGTGAGTGGGGAGGTAGTCAATGGGGGACGTGGAGCACAGTGGGGGGGGGGGGGGTATGGAGCCTATAGGGGGTGGTGGTGGGGGCGGAGGCGTAGCGGGGGGCGTAGTGGGGGGGGGTTCACGAGGGGTTGGTTAAGTTTTGTAGAAAGCTCCAAAAAGTAGAAGAAAAAATCTACCAAAGGATACTCGATTATATTGAAAACAAAAAAAGGATTTTAATTGATCATAATGGATAATAGAGTTTTGACAGTAATCGATTATAATGGATTAAAAATCCATTACGATGTCTAAATTTTCCATGATAATCGATTATATTGACAATATTTTAGTCAACAAAATTCCATTAAAATCGATTTTCATCCATGAAAATTCGATAGGGTACGGCAAGAGAGCTTGAAATTATCATATTAGCGCTCCTTGCTTACAGACAGTCACCGCACCGACAGTCACCGTTTCTTTGATTAAAAGTGAGATTCAATTTTTTTGCCTAATTTTTTAGAACTTCAAAAAATTCAGTTTATGTGAACTTACAATCAATTATAATTTTGATTGAGTAAAATGTAAAAAAAATACATTGAGTTTGTTACGAAAAGATGGTGTAGGATTTTAAATTTTCAAACTTGCTAGTAAATGCTTACTTGGTAAAAGTCAGTAACTTGTTTTGTATCGATACTTGCTAGGAGTGGTAAAGGACTATAGCCTCGGAGAATGTTTCACGCAAAAACAGATGCATCAAAATACAGTTGCTGGCTATCGAGTGAAGTATAATATTGAGGACCGTGATTTGGATTCTAAGATTAATTTTTGAACAAAATTTGTGTCAGGTTTCAAAAAAAAACTGGCCTGAATTTTTACTGGTGGTTCATATTTTAAACAGGAGTAGCCTAGTATATCTTCCCTCTGAGATACTAATTAAAAAATTGTAATACGCTTTAGATATTATGAATATTATTTATTGTGTAGTTTTTTTGGTTTTAATAAATCCATTTATTTACCTACAAAATAAAAAATTTTAAAAAACATTCAACATATTTCCTTAAAAAAACTATTCTTGTGAAAAAATTTTTGATTGTGAATTGGATACAAGCAATCGTTCTTTGAGTTTGTAAAAGAAACTCGAGCTAATTGTTTCAGGTTCCAGATAAAATGTTCTGAGCTTCGAACAGACGTGTTTAGAAAGCAGAATAATTTACGCACTATGCTCATCCTCTGATATATCGTTTGTTTTGGAGTCCTTGAGACGCTTTCATTTTTCAATACGGGAATAACTAAAATTTATTTTTTTATCACTTCGATGATATAACTTGAAAGCAAGAAATTCATTAAAATTCATAAATCTTCGCAATAAAAATACGTAATGTTTTTTTTTGTATTTTTCTAGCGAATAAATTAATTTGTAGAAAAGTTATTAATGAAGAAAAAACAATGATAACCGCTAAAACAAGAAATTGGATAAGAAAATAAGAAAGTCAAAATTCTTATCCAAAAAACATAAAAAACATAAAAAAATCTCCTACCTTGAAGATGAGAACACACTTTGTATTTGAGTGTGTTTTATTGTTTTTGGTTTTTTTTTTGTTTTTCTTTGTTCTCTACTCCAAATCAGGTACCACAAACAATCATCGGAATGGGTTGAGTGACGTATCATATTGCGGGCATTTCAGTAGTTTTTCAAACGGCATTTTCGAACAACATATTCGAACAATATTACCCAAAACAGTTTTTCAGTGTCGAGAAAACCGGCTTAGAATGTTTGATTTTTGTCTATGTTTGAGCAAACGATCGTTCGTTATATATAAAAAAAATAGCAATTTAAGCTAAAAAATTTTGATTTTGCAAGAAAACTAAAAACACTTTTAGAAGCTTGTTTTTAGCGCTTCTCTGATAAAATTTCTTCAAAACAAAACTGTAAATTTAAATGCATAAAATTGAAAAAAAAAATATAAATATTTTTTGAAAATTTTTTTCATGTTCTTTTATTAATGAATTTTTTGAAGACAATTGTAGTGGTTTAAGCATAATTCACTAAATTTTTACTTTTTTGTATAGTTGTATCATCACCCGACGTACAAGAAAAGACACTAATTTGAAGAAAAAAGTTTCTTCAATTTTTTTTCCAGAATGTGGTCACTGCAAGTGGCTATCCTTGTTTCAGTTTAACAATTTTGAAAAAAAATTGTTGTTAAAATTTTTATAATCAGAAAAATTTATGCTTATTTGGCACAGGACTATTTTTTTCCTACTTTTCACGAACTCAGTTACAAACTTTAGTTATAAGAACAATTTTAGCCAATGCATTTTTAGAAGAATTCGCGTTTTCTAAAACTTCAACATGATTTAGAACAGCGAATGAGTGTTTTTTCTGAATGATTTTACATTTTTAGCTATTCAGCTACAAAAATCAGAAACAAGGTAAATGAATTTTGAAAAATGTATCTGAAAGAACCTGTAGTGTAACCTGTAGTGTAACCTGTAGTGCAACCTGTAGTGAAACAGCCTAGAAAAAACTGTTTCCACCAACTTTAGCTTGCTTCCATTCAGTTTTCCTTGGTTGTAAGCTCAGTGTGCTTAGTTTTGCCGCCTGCGTGATGTGCATAGGGCTAAATTGGAGCTAAAAGGCGTATTAAATACTTCTTTGAGGCTTCCAATTTGTTTTTTTTTCAAACCCTTTCAGAGCTTGCCAACCTTTATTTTTTTTCAAATTTTGGCGCTAAATTGATAAAAAGCACAAAGTTTAGGTAAAAATTATGACCCAGTGTCATGCCTGAGTTGAAGTCATAAAACCAAATGGTCCGTTTTCAAACGTCACTATAGCGTGAAATCTCAGTAAAAAAATAAAATTCTGGTTAAAAGTAAAAAATTTTTTTTTTGGTCATGTAAGCGCTCGAAAAATCGTTATTATACGCTGAGGGGGCGGGGGGTGGATTTTCAAAAAAAAAAATTGAAAAAATTGTCGACCTTTTTTTAAGTCGATCAAATTGATTTTTCCGAGCTCTTCCAAAGCACTAAGAAGACTCTGTTTTGGCCACAATTTCTGCGCCGCAGGCAAAATTATGAAAAAACAGGCCAAAAAGGGCGTTTTTACGCACTTTTTCGAAAATTTTGACCAAAAAGTAGCGTTTTTTTGCGCGCTCCTCTCTCAACATTAGTATTGACAATTTGGCGCCAAAGGCGCCTTTAGAAAAATTTTTGGGTCCGTCCCCAAATATGGATATCTCAAATTGTACAAAGGGGGGACCATTTGGGTCGGCAGGTTCCCATATCGAATAGAGATATCGAATCCCTGAGGGGGGTGGGGGCGTCCGAGACCCCCTTTCCCCAAATCCGCCCCTGATTACACAATAAATTTTGTTTTTAAAATTGACTAGAAGCTTGCATGGATTAGGGCAACACCTGCAGTCATTGAAAAACGAAGAAGCAACTGAACAATTCCAATCGTAAATTAGTAAACTTTATTTGCAATTAATTGAGAGCTATAGGAGTTGAAAATATCTTTCTATTACTATTTTTCTAATTGATTTTCAGCCGAAAAAACCTAAAAGCCATACATTCTAAGAAAAAAACTAGCAGAGATATCGACAAAAACCATAAGAAAGTTTGTCCCATTTTCTCGCATTCATTCGCATTCATTTTCGCATTCGTTTGTCTCATTCTTTCGCACTCATTCACAGCCACAATTTCCTTGTCGTTTTTCCCTCAATGAACCTCATTGGTGAACTCAAGTAAAAACTAGAAGGTCAAAAATGAATTGAAGATTGATTGATTTTTGATTAGACTATTCAGACATATTAGACTTAGTTGAGAAACTCAAATTCTGCTGTGTTTGTTAGTCGCTGAGCTGAGCCAGTTTGCTTTATGCATAATAAGATTACAGATTAGGACCACAAAATAAATCAACAAGTAGGGATCCACTTAAGATCGATATAATAAACACCCCTTCCCCCTTTAATTTTCTATATGTACCATAATATTCTCTCTTTTAACATCAGATGATTTCTACACAGATTTTGAATTTAGTTAAAGACCCAGGTATTTTATCAGAAGTGGTGTAATAGTTGGGGGACTTGGGGTGAAATTATTAAAAAGATCAAAGTTTTAAGCTAAACTGCTGCAAAATAGGCTAGTGATTTG